GCCCGCAGTGCTTGCACCCTCATCGTCAACCAGAACCCAGTCCGAGCCCACAGACTCACTGTCACTCCACGACGTCGACGACATCTGCCGGCTTGCAGGGGGGCCTACTACGACTTAGACTTGAGACAGAGCAGCTGTAACACGACTATAGTAGATTACGCAGGGCAACAGCGAGCACAACTGCTGCAGCGGCAAGTTGCGATACATGACACGCTCACTGACTATGCAAGGCAGCTTGTCCTCTGCGATGGCAGCATGTCCTCAGGATCCTCGTCATGAGCCTCGGTGCCAGGACTGTACCATAATAATGGAAGTAGCTGAAGCAAGCTGATGCTGAGATCCCAGCAGTTGGCATCCACTTCTCGATGGGCTGGAAGCCGATGAAGACCGATGGGAGAGAAGGAAATGGAAGAGAAGGCGTTCACTAGGCTTGGATTCAAACCGAACACTTAGACCTGGCCAACGGTGTGGGGAGCAACCCCGATGGGGCAGGGACTTAAGTAAGGCAACCTCGAGAGGCTCGACTGGCACTCTGCCTCTGTCGATCCAAGTCGCAAGGCTCCCTAACTAACGTGACAAGCATGGATGGCCTCCCCTCCTGGTTGGGAGAAAAATAAAAAAGCCACAACCACTGGACCACCCCACCCGGCACTTTAGCCCATGTGCCCGGGTGTCATATGCCACTGCCCTGGCACGTTGGCCCCAAGGCGGTCCAGGTACCATCGACAACACCTGACACCCGGCCAACGGTGTCCACGAACCGAGATGGGCAGTCGATCCGTGTGGGTAAGGTGGCACTCTGCCTCTGTCGCTCCAAGTCGCAAGGCTCACTAACGTGACAAGCATGGATGGCCTCCCCTTCAGGGCTGTAAGCAGATTGCGAACAACACCCACTGGACCACCCCACCCGGCACTTTAGCCCATGTGCCCGGGTGTCATATGCCACTGCCCTGGCACGTTGGCCCCAAGGCGGTCCAGGTACCATCGACTCAACACCTGACACCCGGCCAACGGTGCCCACGAACCGAGAAGGGCAGTCGATCCGCGTGGGTAAGGGCAAGATCTCAAGGCAAGTCAACATGTCACTACGGCCTCCCTTCTTTGTTCAATCACAACCCAAAACTATTTAAAAAGATTAAATATTAAAAATTATTAACTTCAACAACAAATAAACAACAATTTTGTAGACATACAGCAGCAGGAAACCAGGTAGAACAACAGGAAGCCAATTGACTCACTCAGAAACAAAATTCACAAACATGTATTTTTTACACCAAAAATAAAATAAAAGAATTTTAACAACTGTAAAACACAAAAAAACCTATTTAAAAAACTTTTAAATACAAAACAATACTTTTAAATACAAAAAAACACTTTTAAACACAAATAAAGCCAACCACATACAAAAATGAGATTTTGGGTTCCTTTCATATAAGCCTTGTTGATCTAAACCCTGTGGTTCTGGTTCGGCGCAAAGGGTTAAGGATATAGGCGCCTTCATAATGGTTTGAATAAGGCCACTAGGGTTTGGGAGTTGTATATGATACTACTACACAGTTAATTATACCAAGCCTGTAAAAACCCTTGTAATAAGAACCTCCATAGTGTAGGGCAAGTCGCTGTCTCGACATTCACCGTCGTGTGATCAGGATTGACCTTGGCATCAGTGCACACGCACTGTCGGTTTAAGACCAAGGCTTAAGGGTTCGGATGTAGGCTTTTGGGGTTTGAGGGTAAGGTTTAAGTTTACGGTTTAGACTTCAAACTGGTAAGGTCTAGAGGCATAGCCATCTAAACCCTGAACCCCCCTCAGCTCGCAAGCCCAGGGCCCACATAAGGCACCCGGTTGGGAATTCACATCAAGCGAGGGGCCCGGATAGGCCCTGAATGATGTGATCCGTATTCACTATCCGTGCCCTTTAAATGAAAACCCTAAATGACAGTATCTTCACTATGCAGGCGGCTTAAGTTCCACATAGATTCCCCAATGGAAGAAAGCCCCAATCGCAGTCCAAACGCTGGGTTGAGCCTTGAGTACAACACGTCCTAGACTTTACCTTCACCTACCATAACCTATTTTTGTCGTGTCCTTGTATCATGTATTAACAACCAGCAGGTTACGGTAGCTTACGGTCGACACATACATTATGCATCGTTTGCGTTGCAAATGCGAGTTGAACTCCGCTGACAGGCGGCTAGTTAAACATGAAACTCCTCACTGAGCCCCCATTGGGGTATTGAGCAACTCCAATCCCTAAACTCGTGAATCCTAAAACCCTAAACCCTAAACCCCAATCCCTAAACCCTAAACCCTAAACAACAATCCCTAAGCTCGTGAATCCTGAACCCTGAAGCGCAGTTCAGGGTTCAGGGTTTTAGGGTTTTGGTAGGCCTTAGACCCAACGACTTGAGAGGCCCTGAACCGCCCATGAACTTGCCTTTGGTTAGTAGGGAATGGAGGAATGGAGTATAATTATAACTACTATTACTACCATTCTTCCAGTCCCTACTAACCAAAGGTAAGTGAATTTCTAGGCAAGAATCTGGGAGCCAAGTGCTGGCATTGCTGGAGAAGCCGGCCTGCGGGCCTCCGACCAAGCAGCTGGAACTTTGGGTGCTTCGGGCCTTTAGGGTTTATAGGGCTTATCCTAAGGCCCAAAGTAGTTCCTTTTTGGGGTTCATATTCAGAATCCTATAAGGTAATCCCAAAAAAGGAGCTACTTTGGGGCCTATGGGTATGGTCTTATTTAGGGCTTCGAGTTTAGGGTTGTGGGGCTTTGAGGGTTTAGGGCATACGGCTTCTGGCGATTCGAGTGGTTTTGAGTTAGGGCTTGGAGGGCTTAGCGATATGGAGGCTTTGGAGCATCGATTCTGCTAAGGAGGGGCAGGGTTGGGCGTTTTGGGTTTCACGGTCCAGACTGAAGAGTTGGATGTTCTTCAGGGTACAGAACCGATGTATATGAATGCACATGTCCATCTTGCCTTTAAGCCTTGAAAAGCACAATTTCCTAGACCGAGGAGTAACCTAGGAATAAAAAGGGTGCCCTTTTTGGGTTAAAGGGGCTTATAAGGGAACCTCAACCTCAAAAAAGGGAATAAGGGCCTTACTCTAGGTCCTAGTTTCAGTGCCAGTAACTGTGGGCCGGTTGTGGCCGCGAACCCTGCCTGGAGGCCCACATCCGGCACTGTTGATGCAGATAGTACTGATTCGTCGGGTTTGCTTTATGTTTGCGGTTCGGAGCTATAGAGGAGAGTACCAAAAACATGTACCGTCACAAAAGTGTGTGCAAGTATCGGTTGAGAAGGAGCACTGAGCAAGGATTTGTGAGGGTCTTATGACAGACATCCTTCGGTGCAGCGGCTGCAGAAGTCTCGAGAATTTACGGTTTAGGGCAGGTGGCTCTCGTGGTCTCAGCCGCCTTCTCCAAAGCCTCGTTTTCCATGCAACTTATCAGAAACCCGCAACCACATGCCGCCCACCTTTAACCTATGGTAGCAGAACGTTGGAACATAATTGTCCTCAAAGCCTTAAGGTAAAGTATGAGGGATCCTAGCACTAATCCTCCTAAAACCATGTTCCACTATATATAAATACTTGAACCCAAAGCCTTGAAAGCCCAACCCTGAAATTTAAACGCCTGTATGGCTTTAAAGCCTCGACTTTGCACCGAAAGCTCTACCTTCATACAGGGCCCTGAACGACTCGAACAAGTATATGTGCTTTTGGTGGTGGTGTACCGACCATAAGGGGGCAGTGTAAATGGCCAATGCTACATATGTAACATAAGCTCCACCTTCATATGTCTCCTGCGCTGGTCTGACCCTATATGAGCCTGACCTCACATAATTAAACCCAAACCCCAAACCAGGATTGCAAAGCATGAGATCGCGCCTGAAGTCCACTGCCTAGTCTGCGGGCTTTGAGGGGTTCAGGGCCCTGCTTCTTACGGCTTTGAGGGCTTTGGGACTTCAGGACCGAGATCTTCCAAAATCCCTGAATTAAGGCATGTACCTCAAATCGTAGTAGGATCCCCAGCCCAATACTGTTGATGGACAAAATCCTGCATTACCCACTATAAGGAATAAACCACAGTTCCCATAGTTTAGAGTCCTTAGGGTCATGCAGGATTTTGTCCATCAGCAGTATGATTTAATGTATGTTCCTCAATGAAGGAATTTTGGAAGGGCTTTCGGACCCGATGCTGTGTAGGGTGAAAAGGGCCTTTTGGGTTTTAGGCTTTCAGGTCTTTGGGTCTGCCACTGACCTGGTTTCTATGATCCTAAATCCTATTTAGGGGTTGGGGTTGTTCCGGCTGAGATGATGAGGGTCTGCGAGTTTGGTAGTGCTTTTGGATTTGGGCTCAGACTGGTACGATACTTGGACTTACCTTAAGGCGCCTGGACCCTCGTAGTGAGATCCCAAACCTTAGCCCCCAAAGCCCAAACCCTCCCCCAGAAAGCCCATGACCCCCTTAGGAGCCTTAGGGTAATACTTATGTTTACGAGCTCTCGAAAGAACCCTAGTTCCCTTGAGCATCCTCGAAACTTCGAATCCTAAGCCTAAATTGCGTCAAGCGACGCTGAACCCTGAACCTCCTCAAATAAGAACTCCGAGAGACCAGAATCCCATGAGTTCTTTCGCCCCATGATCTTTTTCCCTAAGGGTCCAAAGGAGGCACCCGGATTTAGGATAGTAGTTGTGGGAGGTCTGTGTCTGAGATACTACTACTATTTGCTTAAGACCCCCTCCCCCCCCCCAAAAAAAAAATATATATATATATATATATATATATATATTCTTTATGGGGGTAATATAGGGATTATTATTTTTATTTTTTTGGTGGTTTCTTAAGCAAATAGTAGACTAGATGATTATTAAGTACTTGGACCCTTGGGGTTAGGACTATGGCTGGTGCTTTCAAACATAGGGGCCCATGGTTCCTGAAACGTGAGCCGTAACACCGTAACGGCTACCTTCCGCTCTCACAGCTATAGCTGAGTCACATGGGCGTGCGCTCTGGATCCCGACCAGTGGTAGCAAACCTGGGTATGGAAAAGGTTCAACGGTCAAGGCTCGGGAATAGGGCTTGATAGGGGCTTCGGGGGTCGGGAATAGAGTTCACAGTCCAGAGTTTGGAGTTTGGGGCTTCGGGTGTAGGAATACTTCGATGTTCATGGGAGTTATCAGTGGGGCTTGTAAGTCCCCTAGCATAGATATCCTGCTTATAAGCCACACTCGTAACTGCCCATGAACTTCCAAGTGGGGCTCAACAGGGTTTACCTTCACCCCAAATAACCATCCTCTTTAAGGACTCATATAAGGAAATCATAACAAAGAACCCCAAACATGTGGGTTCCTCAGGGTCCAAACGAGACGTGGAGGTCATGGCGCAAGCAAATCTTTGGGTTTTCCGGCTTAGGCTTTATGGCTCAGGCTAGAGAGTTTAGGGCTCCGGGAATAGCAGGGTTAGGGTTTAGAGGGTTGTAGGATGTTTTGGGGATCATTAGGGCCATAGGGAGCGAACGCTAAACCAGGGTCTTGATGGCTTCATAAACACGAGTCTAGTCGCCACAAGGAATGATACTGTAATCGGGGTAAGAGTTGCAAGACATGTGTACTCCTCCTAAGTAGAGCCTCCACCCTCCCTGACCCCTAAACTCACACCCCCGCGAGGATCTGGAAAGTAGATCCCCTAGTTTGGGGCCCTATACTACTAAGGGTACTTTATAGGAACCCCTCATTGAGGGATCTACTTTTTGGATCCTCCCGGGGGTCTGGGAAGGATACTAGCCTAAAATCCCGAATCCTAAACCCTGAGCCCAAAGCACTGAACCAGCAGACCTTAACCCTAAACTAGGCCCTAAACCCTAAACCCTAAGACCCTAAACCGTTTAAACCCGGTTACAGGAACCCTTACGGAAACTCTTAAAAGAACCCTTCCAGCAACCGAACATTCCTCCATCCCTGCATGGCTAGATTGGGGGCTTAGGGATTAGGTTTTCGGGCTTAGGGCTGGGAGGGTTTAGGCTTTTAGGGGTTTAGGGCAGGGCTCATGGTTGGCAGAATTACCGTCGTGACGGCGTGCCAGCCACAGAAACAGCAGGCAAGGTGGATGGCTGCTCCTTGTTGAATGCAAGTGCTTCGGCGGGGCAGTTCTCTAAATTAGGATCTCAATTCAATTCACCAAATAGTACGCACCCTTAAAAAAAGGACTGCAAGAGGTATTCTAAATTAGAAAACTACCCCCAGGTTTGCAGCAGTCTGATTGCAACCTTCCAGTGTGGCGCGAAGCTGTGTTGAACAGTCAGCCTGATTCCCCTGGCGCTGCGAAGACTCGATTCGAAGCATTCTTTCGGGCTTAGGGTTAGGATTTAGGCCCCGACACTGGAGAAAATCTGTGGTGCCTTATAAACCCGAAACCCCAAGCCCAAGAGAAAATAGTATAGGCAACTATGGCCCCTATACTATAGTATCCTTACAGTAGCCCTTTTATAGAACCCCTTTAAGGATCCCTTTAAAGGGACCCCTATAGACCCGATTTGTAAGCCCCCGATGCGTGAAGTCATGGCCCTCAAATGCCGAGGAGCATGTCCGGATTCTTCAAGCACATGGGATCCTTGCAAATGCTGTACCTGGGGCGTCTTCGGTGACTTTCAGGGGTTTCACTAAGTTCTTGCAGGACTCCGATAAGGATACTAAGCCGTTTGACGATTGCCGACTAGGGCTCAGAGTTCAGCTGTCGAGGTTTAGGTGCAACAATGCTGTCTGGTTCTTAATGGGGGAATGGGATATGGGGACAGCTACTGCTGATGAACAAAATCCTGCATTACCCATTATAAGGAATATACCATAGTTCCCATAGTGTCGGGTCCTTAAGGTAATGCAGGATTTTGTCCATCAGCAGTATTGAGGACTATATAGGGGCTACTATACGGATCCATTCCCCCACTCCCTACTAAGCACCAGGGAGAACTGCCGGTCATAGGCTGGGGCTTCCAGACATATGGGTGGTTGTGCATATTTGGGTCCCTTTCTAGGTACCCTAAATAATAGGTGCCGTATTATAATAGGGACCAAAAATTAAAAAGGGACCATAATTTTGACAACCACCAATTTGGGGAACCACAAGATCCCGAATCCGAACCCAAAGGCTCAGCTAATCCAAGAGGCGGAATGAACAAGTCGCGCATGGCAATCTCGTCACCCTGGTACACTACCGGAGTGCCCGGCAGCAGGTTGAAGAAGTTGTACACCTCCAGGGGCGGAACGGCGGATGTGTTACATAGGGTCCAGGGTTTAGGGTCTAATGTAGGAACCTGATTAAGAAACCCTGGCCCTATACCCCCCAAAAATAGTAGGATTCATACAAGGAACCCTAATAAAGGCCCAAGGTTTCGTAATCAGGTTCTTACACTATCCCAATCAGTCAACCGTCAATGTTCAACTCTAAGCCTCCCACAACGTTAAATGTGAATCGTGTCCCTGTAAGACCTGCCATGCTCTCATCCTAAACATCGATCCAATTCACAAGGCCCTTAATGGCTCCAAAACCCCAAACCCTCAAGCCTAAACCCTCAACCCGAAACCCTAAACCGCAGGATTGAAGGATGCTTGGGCCTTGAACACTAAGCCGCCTCGGCTCAAAATACCCTGGGCCCCCCTACTTGGAAGTTCAGGGTAGCTATGCAGGGCTTCAGGCGTAGGCTCTAGGGTTTAAGCTTACAACCAAGATACTAAGTAGGACAACTGTAGTTAAAGCCTATACTAGGAGACTTATAGCCCACTTATGGTAACTACCCATGAATCTACAAGTAGGTCCACCCAAGAAAGCTGCTGACTCTCGGCAGAGCCTCCGGTCATGCTCCAGCCCGCCTCTAAAATCATCGAGACCTTACTCCCCGCAATCGAAAACCCTAAACCCTAAAACCCTGAACCCAACAGCTCAATCCAAAAACTCCATCCCCCTAAACCCTAAACCCTGAAACCCTAAACCCTAAACCCTAATGTAGGAACTTGATTAAGAAATTCCCCGGATTAAAGGGGCACGGGCCGGGTGTTGGGGTCAGATTTGTATGTGTTTCAGTTGAACCCCAAATAAAGATGAAAAATTGAAAAAACAACCCACCCAATTAGATAGGCTCGTTCCATCCAGACAAACAATTTGATTGACTTTCAATTGAACCCAAAATAAATAAAATATCACCCCAATTAAACAGGACACCCCACAGACCCCAACCCTTCTTATGGACCCTGAATAATTCTTAAAGATAACCCCCTGATTAAAAAGGGTCTAATCCCTCACAGCAAACACCCCCAATTACACAGGCTCACCCGATCTAGACCGGAGAAAACCTGACCTTGAATAAACCCCCATGCCCACCCCCCCATTAGAAGGGTCTACTGGTACTGTACTACTACTGTACTACTACTGTACTACTACTGTACTACTACTCTACTACTACTGTACTACTACTGTACTACAACTGTACTACTACTGTACTACTACTGTACTACTACTGTACTACTACTGTACTACTACTGTACTACTACTGTACTACTACTGTACTACAACTGTACTACTACTGTACTACTACTGTACTACTACTGTACTACTACTGTACTACTACTGTACTACTACTGCACTACTATACTGGTACTGTACTAATCCATATTAACTTTCCCCAAACAAGGTTCTCCGGGACCTTGAACAAGGTTTGCACCAAAACCCCCAACAAGGTTCTTCCATTTAATCGTTTGGGGGGTTTGGGGGCGAGGTGTCCGACCTTGTGACCTTGATAGCGGGGGGGGGGGGGAGCCCTTTCTTAATCAGGTTCCCACATTAAACCCTAAAACCCTAAACCCTAAACCCTAAAACCCTAAACCCTAAACCCTAAACCCTGTCCCCACCGTGGCTGCGAGCGCCGAGTTGTTGTGGAGCCGCTCCATGAGACGGTGATTGTCCTCGGCTGCGCTCAGGAATTTAGGGTTTAGGGTTTTGCATTCGGGGCTAGAGGGGTTAAGGGTTCCCGGGCGTCACTGGTTATTGAGGTTTCGGGCTAATGCGTGGATGGCGGCTGTGCTGCAGCCTCTAAACTTTCTCCCCGAACCCATCTAAATCTAAACCCGAAGCCCCAAGCCCAAAACCCTAAAACCCTGAACCTAAACCTTGAACGCTAAACCCCAACACCCGGAACCCCAAACCCCAAACCCTAAGCCCTATTTACTCGAGATTCCTTTAAGGAACCCTAAAGGATCCCTTTAAAGGAACCCCAAACCCCGAAGCCCTAAACCCGTATGTTCAGCCCAGCAGCGTGGTTGCCCAGCACCCAATTGCCATGACACCACTCCTACTTTGCGGTTTAGGGTTTAGGGACTGAGCAGTTCCTTTAAGGGGACTATAGACGTCTACATACTGGGTTCCTTCAAGGGATCTATAAGGGTCCTATAATGGAGGATCATGGGACTTAGTATGCATGGTTATAGGTCCTTTACTTGGGGTTGTAATTAAGCAATTATAAGTATAGCTACCCTAAGATAATAACCCTAGTTACTAAGTCCCATGATCCTGTAAGTAACGAGAGGTCACGAGTGGTCCTGAATTTCAGGTGCTTGCGGTTTCAGGATGTTTAACGTTAAACTGGACACGTTAAAACGTACCTTTTTGGTGATCCTTAGACTAGACTTCCTGAAATACGTCCTTAAAAGGGTGGGTTATGAGGGCTTAAGGTAGGACTTCTAGAATTTAGTGATCAAGGTTTAGGGCACCGGGTTCAAAAGGGCTTCGTGACGTGGAGCTTTCGAAGTTTCCAAAGACTGGGACACAAACGGTGAACCTAGAACGTGCAGCGAGGCCCGGTACCTTACTACAACTAAACCCTAATCCACAAAACTCCTGAACCCCCAAACCCCTACACCCCTAAACCCCTGAACCCTAAACCCCTAAATCCCTAAACCCCACCCTAAACCCCTACACCCTGAATCCTTAAACAGAGGACAGACAAGCAAGAAACCATGAACCCCTTAGCAAAGCAAGGCACCTCTAAGGCGATGATAAAACCCCCCTAGAATCGAAGTCTTCATGATGTCCGTTGCAGTGGCCTCTTGAAGCCCTCAATCCCAAATTATCAACCCTATCTTGAACTCTAAACCTTAGACCGTAACTCTACACCCAACAAATCTGAAGTTTCCGGCGCCAATCCCACACCCCTCGACTGCCACACTTAGCTTTACTTTACGATCTCCCAGCAACAAAAAGGCTACGGTGTTTTGGGTTTATGGAGGTTCCGGAAGTGTACTGCAGAGATGCGCGGCGTCAGGAGGACTTAGCGTTTCGGATGAAGGCCCTGAGGTTTAGGGTTCCCGGAGACTCCAATAGCCGTTAACTAAGGAATATTCCTTAAATCATATTAAATTAGGGATCCTACTATAATTTAAGGATAGTCTCTGGGTTTAGGGGATATAGGGAATAAACTTCAAAGGTTTCGGGTTCAGTGACAACACCCCGTGAAACGTTTCAAACCTTCATAACCTGATAAACTCATAAGATAGAACTGCCAACCCTGTATACGAAACGCGTAATGCAACCCCATAGACCCTTTTTCAAACACCAAAGGGCCTGCTTAAGCAGTCCTGAAGCATAACAACAACACCCCAGCTTTGTTGCTAAGGTTCGTTCACGTCTGCACTAAAGCTTTATGGTTTGGGGATGAACTGGTTAATGGGGTTAGGGTTACATATCAAAATCCTAAGACAGAAAGGGCCTTGGTAGTTAAGATAATTTAGCTCTTCCAAATTAGGCACGACGCCTGAAAATTCACCTAAAGGTTCATGGGACTCAGTAACTACGGCTACTATTAGCATACCTGTATTTATTTTTGTTTTTAATTAACCGAAATTAAGATCGATATTTATACCCAAACCCAGTATATCCCATGATTCTCCCAGGAAACCCTCAACTCCCACCGGTCTCCGGCAGCGCTTGCGAGTATCTCTTCACAGCAGAGCGAGCGACGGAAGCAAGCCGCAGGTCGTTGGGTTTGCCATAATCCTCTTCCGGCATCGGTGTAGGGTGTAAGGTTTGGGGTTGAGGGTACATTGCCAAAGGGTGCAGAGGGCTTTGCGAGAATGCAAGTGAATCCCAGGAGCTTTGAATTGAAGGGGCTTAAGAAACAGCTGGAAAAGTTGTATATTTCTGAGGGAAAATGGTGTGACTCGTAGGATCCTACTTAAATTATACATGGGTGCTCTGTATTTACCGTTGCCCGCACCTCAAAATAGAAGTAAGTCACCACTGGGGACATCAGAACAAGCAATTCCAACTATATACTGTATACTCTAGGTTCGTGCTCTCACTTCTTCAATCCGTAAAACAGCACAGCCTCGCAACTTCTGAACCCCCAAGCACTATAGGGGCTTGTTTTTGATAAGCTTCGAAACTTCATGCGAGGTGTTCAAGTCGGCGACCTCAGTCTACGAATCACACTAGAGCTTTTGTTTCTGCCCTTCAAAACTAATACTTTCCGCGTTCCAGTCCGCTGCTGGCCCGAAAATACGATGTCCCAGGCATATGTTTGAATGTGACCGGATGGCCTTCTAGCCTCCTGAAGCCTTTAAACCCGAAACCCTTATTCTTATCCTAATTTTTACCCCTAAGCTCCTAAGCCCCAGAGCTTAAACTCCTGGGCCCGTAAACCCGAACCCCTTGAAGCCTCAAGCCCTAAACCACCAACAAAAGCACATTCCCCGCCATCGTCCTGGCCAAGGACCTGCCATCTGAATCTTGCGGCTCGGAAGGAGGAGTCACCAGGGTTTAGGGCGGCATTTTGCAGGAGGAGTTGTGATAATGTCAATCATGCTCACCGCCGAACAATGCAACACTCACCAACAAACTTGGATCTAGGGTTCGTTCGAGGTAAACACACCAGAAACGGTTACCCCACTGCAGCGACCGTCCCACGCCCCCATGCTGGTGCCACCACTTTCACCATCACCGTCGCCCACCTCAGCACCACAACATCATCAGCGCCGCTGCCATGAACATCAAAATGATACGCATCAGGTAGGCACCAACACCATCACAGCAACAGCAAACTACCTCGAACAACAGAGGATGTACGTTACATGCGCTCCTGCGAACGAATACAGATCAGACCAGGATAACAATCAGAATGGCAAAGCATGACACGAGAATCGAGAAAGCATAAACAGTTCGTAGTACTAGCATGGAGGCACACACCTTAAGACAAACCACGAGACATCACAACTCTGAGTATTTCTAATCCGAACAAGGTGATATCAATAACGAGCAAGCAAGCCAACACAAGGCAATGCAGAAATGAGATTCATCAACCCTTGGACGATCAAGAGGGCCTGACTTCCCCAGACCTTCCAATATCCCTTAATTTAAGGAACCTACCTGAAATTACATTAGAGATTGTACTATGGCTTAAGATTCAGATATATTCCTGAACGTGAGATAGAAGACTGAATCAATACGCTGTTGATACACATTGGGGTTCAACCTTACCAACAGTATTCCACAATAGACACCCCCAAACCCTGATTTTAGTACTGAGGCCCATGTATGCAACAGTAATCCCCACAAAGCCCATATAAGCCCTATAAGCCCGTCTACCACCCCTATATAAACAAGAAAACCTTCTGAAACGCCCTAAACCCAACACCCTGAACCCAAACCCCTAATCCCCACCCAGAGCCCCAACTACCCTCTATTATACCCAAAACACCCACGATTAAGGACAATATTATTAGGGCTCGATTAAAGGGCACTTGGGGCGTACTGTAGACCCCAAGTCTCTGAACCTCTAAACTCCTAAGCGACCTCGAAATTGAAGGGCACGTTGAACTCGGGCTTCTCGGTGGTGCCTGCTGTTTAGGGTTTAAGGTTTAGGGTTTAAGGATTAGGGTTTAGGGGTTTAGGGGCTTTGGGGCTGGGGCTCCTTTATGGCTTCCCTTGCACGGGCTCTTTGAGGCTTCTTGGTCTCCGAAAAGCCCCCAGCTAGACTCACCCCTGCAACTCGAAGCCCCCAACCACCCGACCGTCGGTGGTTGTCAAAATTGGGGTCCCTTTTTGGGTCCCTAAACCCTAAACCCTAAACCCTAAACCCCTAAACCCTAAACCCTAAAGGGTCCATATTGTAATACGGCATATTTAGGATACCCAAAAAAGGGGCCCTAATTTTGACAACCACCCAGATCCTAGCAGTCCTGAACGCAAAGCCTTGCAACCCTAAACCCTAAACCCTAATACAGGGGCAATAGTAATAGGGTTTTGGGGCCCATCACACTATATACATTATAACAAGGAGCGCCAACAAAAACAGTAATTGGTAATTATTTAATTAGGCCCCATATAAATTAATCCTGGAATCTCGGGTTTTAGGGTCCTTTAATCCAAGGGTAAAAGGCGGGACCCTTAATAAGGACCCCTAGGTATATACCCTTAATATAGCTATTATATAACCATTATATAGCCCATTAAGGTAGGGGTCCCCATTAAGGGTCCCTCCTTCTCCCCTTTGATTTAAGGAAGCCTTCAGGGGATCCTTACAAACCTTAACGGGGCTCAGCACGGTTAGGGTAAGCCATGACGAGGCCCAACGTTAGTCGCCACAAACCCCCAAAACCCCTATAAGAAATACCTCAGAAGGAACCCCTTAAAGGAACCCGTTAGGGAACCTAGAAGAAATCTTCAAGGAACTCTTATTGGAACTTTAAAGGGAACTCTTAAAGGAACCCTGCAAGCGACCCCCTAAAGGAAACCCTTAAAAGGAACCCTTCCTTTCCTACAGGAACCCTTCAAAGGAACTTTAAAATGAACTCTTGCAGGAAACCTTAAGAGAACCCTTAAAAGGAACCCTGCCTTTCCTACAGGAAGCCTTAATTAAAGGAAACTTAAAGAGCCCTTCGAAAGAACTCTTCCATTCTTACAGGAAGCCCTTAAAGGAACCCTTCATTTCTTAAAGGAAGCCTCAAAATCAACTGAGGGCTCCACCGTAGTACTCCATGAGGTCCGCCAAGGGCGCGTAGATCTCACCGAAAATCACGCGGTCGTCGAACTCATCGATCTGCCGGCGGCGAAAGATAAAGCGTGCTTTAGGGTTTGGGGTTTATAGGGTTTAGGGTTTAGGGCTTATTAGGGTTTAGGGTTTAGGGTATATAGGGCTTAGGGCTTATAGGGTTTACAAGGCTTGGGAGTTATAGGGTTTCTAGGGCTTAGTGTTCGCGGCTTACAGGGATTAGGGTTTAGGGTTTAGTTCGGGTTCGTATTCAGCTCGGGTTCTTGTGGGGTCTTCGGGCTTTGTCTTAAAGAGTTTCTAAGGGTTCTTTCAGGCCGTTTAGGTGCCGTGGGGATTAGGATTTCGGGCTTCGGGTCTCTGCTATTGGCTCCCTCCTGCAAGGGTTCTACCAACGTCTTGTCCAGTCTTCTGGGGCTCTAAAGTTTCACAGTTTAACCTCTGCGAGTATATATTGGGATTACGAAGGGATTATAGTGCCCAAAAAAGTTTGAAGGTGTCTTACTCTATATACTACTAGGGTAAAATGCTTCAGGCCCTCGACTCCCTGTAAACGCCCACACTGTAGGGCTTAGCGAATAAGGGTGGGTCTATATGGCATCGCATTCTTTTATAAGGGTCCTACGTCCTATGCATAACGTTGTACAGGGCTTTTTATACGGTTTCACAATGCTTTTTATAAGGCTCTTGTCGCGTTTGTACAGGGCTTCTAGAGGGCTCTGCAGTCTAGGGGTTGAGGCTGTTTGCTGAAGGCTTTGGGTTTAGTCTTTCGGTGCTTCGGCAGCTTAGAGGTATGAGGTTGCAGGTGCAGGATTTTTTTTTGTTGCATGGTCGCTTCTTGGGAACCCACATGCACGGCTTCCTGAGACCAATGGCCCTGACTTCACCTGGTGGCCAGATTGAGCATCTGCATAAGCAATCATGTTGTCAGGGCGTCGGGTTTAACATAAGAGCCTCACCCTGAGGCTCCTAAGAGGGTTAGGGGCTTTGTGGGCGAGGGCTTGGGCTTTGGGGGCTACGATTTAGGATCTCACTATGGGGGTCTGAGAGCATTAGGGCAATGATTAGAATGAGGTTTGGGAGTCAGACACTTACAATAAGGAGCCCTAAGTAATGGTACTATGAATTACTCAGGCTTCTGTAAAAGGAACCGGGGTCGAGGCATCGGATAGGTTTATGGTTACCTTAACCCCAAATAACCTACCTTGTTAAGGACTTATATAAGCAAATCATACCAAGGAACCCTAAAAATCTGGGTTCCTTAGAAACATGAAACCCTATGGATCCCTCAAAGATTCCTTATTACAGGAGCCCTAGAAAGCTAGGTTCTTGCGGGTTCAGGTAGGGCAGGGGTTCAGGCAAACGTCGCTGGAAAGGGCCTAACCATCTCCCAGCCCATCATCCCCAGGCGTCCCACGTGGTCCGTCTTGTCCAACTGTCACAGCCCGGGAAGCTTCAGGCAAAAGGGCGAAGAAGAGAGATACAGTGTGAGGCAGATCAAGCAAATCCCACAATTGCAGCGCCGTCGGATCCCAGGGTCTGGTTCATCCCAGAAAAATGGATCCGCGAGAAGGTGATCCACCAAAACAACCAAGCAACTTCACAAGTTCCTCCCGGTTCTCCAGTCCCTCTAGCAAGGCAGGGAACTTGCGCCGCTAAAAGAGTGTCCTGCGATCATGCTATGGTTGCTTTATCCAAAGAAAAAATCTAGGGAAGTTTCACGAAGCAGCCCCGGCCGGGATTGGAGGGCCCGTCAAACATGCAACAATCTGGCGGACTTCTGGGGCTGCAAAGTCAGCTTCGCCGAAGTCTAACTCCATGACGCTCCCCCTAATTAAACCCTAAAGGGTTTAGGGTTTAGGGTTCAGGGTCTAGGGTTTGGGATTCAGGGTTTTGGGTTTAGGCCCTAAAACCCCACAGGCCCCCAAAACCCCACAGGCCCCCAACACCGTCACAAGAGCTCAATATCCATAAACCCTTATAATAGATCCCTCAAAGGAACCCTTATAGATCCCTCCAAAGGAACCCTTGTAGAACCTCTGAACCCACTTTCGGTCAAGACGCTGTCGTCCGCCAGCCGTGGATGATGTCATGATTCTTGGGGTCGTTCTGGGTGTAGTTGTGGACCCTGCGAGGGTTACAGACTTGGAGTTGAGGATTCAAGGTTTAGGGAGAGTATGTGATTATTGGGTACTTGGATGGGTACTTGGACCCTTGGGGTTTAGGGATTAAGGTTTAGGGTTTAGGGGTTCAAGGGTTTAGGGGTTTGCGGTTTAGAGGTTTAGGGGTTTAGGGAGGGGTTTAGGGTTTGGGGCACTTCTGGAAACTCGTGGCCTCTTGGATGAAGCGGTGGTTGAGCACTATTGCATCCGGATATCAATGTATCTACAACTCATACGGGGATCCTTCTAAACCCTAGACGCTAAACCCTTCCTTTGGTGAAGGCTGCGCCCGTGGATATCTCGGACTCAATTACTATGGAAACTAAAGTGCAGAGAGTCTGGAATCATGGAGGCACTAAGTATAAAAGAACATTGATAAGTTATGTAATTGAAAATCGAAACCCTCAACACTTCAACAACACTGCCTCAAGCCCCAAACTGCAGTCTCGGCACATGCAGTTCCAAGTGGGACTTGTCTTTGCACAGGTCGCGTTGAAGGCCTCGTCGCGTAGCTTCTCGTCCTCTGAGGGTTCAGGGGTCCGGTTTGGGTTCGGGGTTTAAGAGTCGGGGTTCAGCATTTAGGGTGCAAGTTTGGGATGGGTCCGGGCGTGGGGAGTTTCGGATATTATGCGGTCTCCTGCGTGGCATTCCCAAACACATGCTCTAAGGGCTCACATATTGGGGCTTGTGGGCCCAAAGACCATAAGTTTCCGAAAACAGGAGACCCTCATGTGGTACCCTAAATAGTAGGATCCTGATTGTAAGGACCCCAAAATAAGGTAGCTTCTATGTTCGGAAACTCCCATACAAGGCATCTGGGCTGCATTGATCCCCAGGGAACCTCCAAAACCTGTCGAACCTGCGTTTGAGTACTTGGAGGATCATGGGACTTAGTAGGTATGGTTATAAGTACCTTAATTGGGGTTTTAAGTAATTCTAAGTGCAGTTACCTTGATAATAACCCTAGTTTCTAAATCCAATGATCCTTTCAGTACGGCTTGTGTGGGTGAAGGGCTTGAGCCGAAGTGCGTTTCGCAGAAGGGCCCAGTACTTGGAGGGGCAGGGGACTAAGTAAGTAGGTTATAAGTAGAGTTATAAGTACCCTAATGGAGTTAGCTCAATTATAACCCTACTTATGACCTACTTACTAATCCCCTGCCCCCGCAAGTAGACGCACCTAAGTTACCACGGGCTTTTCGGCAGGTTTTCCGGCTTTCGCATTGGACTTTACTTTGGGAGGGGGTGGCGGGTGGGGGGTTGGGGGCGCGGGGGTGAGGGTTGATCTGATTTCGTTCTGGTTCCGCCAACTTTGTGTGAAAACTGGGCTCTGAATCCACGCCTGCCAAAAGTCAAGAGAGTGCTAAGGGTTTTGGGTAGCCCGGATTATCTAGAAGGAAGGAAACTGGGCTCTGAACCTATGCTGCAGCCAGAAGTCAAGACAGTGCAAACATGCCTTTGAGAATGACATTTGTCAGAGCCACTAAGTTTCAACTCTACATGGTTCCTGAGAGTCATTTTCACAGGATATCTGCACTGTCTTGACTTTTGCTGGCAGGCGTGGGTGAAGAGCCCATTCCACGTAAACCTGGATTCCGGAAACCCCTGCGGTATATTATCAACGTGTGGCCAAATAGGCATCGTCTTCCTAGCCTCGTTTAGGGACTGGGGCTTGAAGCTTGGAGCTCATGGCCTGGGGTCTAGGGTTTAGGGCTTTGGGGTGTGAGGTCGTTCCACCCAAAGGGTCCAAGGTATCTCCTTAGGAGGGTCCGGAATCTCCTAGGGAGAGCCCTTGGGTCTCTTTGGGGTCTCAGAAATCCTGCATTTTGAGGTTCCCTAAAGTGCTAGGACCCTTATAGGGCATCTGCCAGGCCTTCAACACTCGCTACATGCAGAGAAGCAGAAGCCACCGCCTAAACCGGTATAGAGCTTACTCGAGGGAGCATGGGACTTAACGATCGGATAGGAGGAGCTAGACAGAAGGCAACCCCAGGTAACTTACAACTCCACTGATACATGAACTACAAAGTTCCATGATGGTTCAAGCAGCATATCTCAAGATGCTGGTAATGCGAGAAAGCATGACTGTTCCATTGTTCCCACAAGCTTGATTGAGAGGAACAATGAGACTTGAGCTTCCAAAATGACAGCAATTGCTTTACGGGGTAACTCTCCTGTATAAATCGTAAATACCAGACACCCCTATAATATGGACCCAACTTCTTAGGGCACTAAATTAGGCCCAAACCCTAAACCCCGAAACCCTAAACCCTAGGGTCCCCAATTTTATCCTAAACGCTACGCCGCTGCACTTCGTCATGCGTTCGGGCTCATTCTTGGCAGCAGTGGAACCTGGGTTGTCAGAGCAACGTTTGAAAATTAAACCAAAACCCTACGCCGATACCAACCCCCCAAGCCCGCAACCCCAAAACCCAAAATCCAAAACCCAACCCCCTTATTGGCAATCTCCTCGAGAAGGAAAGGCACCGCATCAATCCGGAAGCCGCCGACCTTATATGTAGGGGCATTGATATTCCCACTAAAACTTATATACGGGCTGGGCTATTTCAGAGTTCTAGGGTTTGAGGGTTACATGGAGGTGAGTGTCTTGGGATTTTAGGAATCTGGGTGTTATGGCTTAGGGTTGCAGGGTATGCGTGCATGGGAAGCCGGCAATCAACGTTCCCCTTGACATCCGAATGGGCTGTCTGCAGGGGCTCTTAACATGAATCTGGAACCTAGAGGGTCTATACAGACTACTGTTACGGAACCAGGTCCCCAACACAAAACATACGGATGGTCTTTTGGGACTTATAGTTCCATAATGGTATATGTGAACCCTCTGCTGGGCAATGCATCTCTGAAGGTTCTCCAAGGTCTTGCGGAAAAGTGGAATATAGAGAAGGCCTTTTTTAAGTTTAAGGCTATGGCCATGGCTTGGGTTGGTGGTATAAATTCAAACCTTAAGCACTTTTTGGTCACTTGGCCCCCGGTCTTGCTAAATGTTGAATAACCACCCAAGGGTAAAAGGAGGGACCCCTAATAAGGACCCCTAGGTATATACCCATTATAGAGCCATGATATACCCATTTAGGGTTTAGGGTTTAGAGTGCCAAAAGCCTAAACCCTAAAGCCTATAGGGTAGGGGTCCCCATTGAGGGTCCCTCCTTTTCCCCTTTGATTGAATAACCAGCCCTAGGTGTTGACCACCCAGTCCATAGTATTGGTCTTAGGGTTTAGGGTTTAGGGGTTTAGGGGTTTAGGTTTAGGTTTCAGGGTTTAAGGTTTAGGGGTTTAGGGGTTTAGGGTTTAGGGAACCGCCCAAGCCCACAGCATTGGTTCGTACCCCCATGGATGACCAAAAGGTTCATAGTTCATAACATTGGTCCAGTTTGTGCAAAAGTCCTAGCATTCTTGGAGGGGCAGGGGACTTAGCAAGCAGGTTCTAAGTGGAGGTATAAGTACACTAAATGGATTTACCGCAATTATGACCCTACTTATAACCTGCTTACTAAGTCCCCCGCCCCTCCTAGTCGGTCCGGATTGACCAAAAGGTTCATAGCATTGGGCGCACAAGCCCGTGTCATCGGTACCAGATTGACTGAAAGGTCCATAGCATTGGGAGGCAAATTGACCACAAAGTGCAGAGGGTTTTTAAAAATTTGAATTACACAGCCTGATCATATGAAAGAGAGTGCTGACCTACACCTGAAACCCCCAATTACCCCAAAATACCCACTGTTGGGGACATGCAGAACCCTGAAACCCTAAACCTGAAACTCGCAATCCGGTCCACAGTTCAGAGCCAAGTGGCCCCCAAGCGCAGCCAGAACCTGAGAACCTCCTGCATGGCCTGTCAGAAGACAAGCAAAAGTAATCCTAGTATGAACCACAAAAAGGAACTACTATGGAGCCTCTGGGTACACTACCTAAACTCCCAAAAGTAAATGAAATAATGGCCCCCCAAACCTATAAAAAGGTTCTGCATACTGCTGGGGGTCCGGGGTTTCGGAGGAAGCGGGCGGCGGCTTAGGGCTGGGTGTAGACTACCATCGTAGAACAGGGCTTTGGCGGGACCCTAAACCTTAAATAGCCTTAAACTGCAGGACGGTGGGTCTGGGATTTAGGGGTAGCTGACAAGGAGTGTAAAGGTCAGCTTTTCCCGCCGAACTGCCTGGTCAAAAGTATCATAAGTTCAATTTGGCACACGTCGTATGACCTCACACATCTACTTCAAACAAACCTGGTTGTCAGCAGCATCGCCTGGTGTTCTTGCAGAGAATACAGCGCTAGTTCTAAACCCCTGCAACATTGCATAAACCCACAACCAAAGCAACAAAAAAAAACTTAGCTCCAAACCCGAAAACCCCTCAACCCTAAACCCTAATCCCTAAATCATATAAATCCTAAACCGTGCCCTAACCTGCTCAACCCATAACGGGCCACATCTTCAGTCGCACCTCCACAACTGCCGGGTTCCGGTAGTTCCTCGGAGATGTGCTGGTGCTACTTGGAGGGGCAGGGGACTTAGTAAGGGCTCTTAAAGGGCCCCTTAAAGGGATCTAAAGGGTTCCTTAAAGGGATCTACGGGGTTTAGGGTTTAGGTTTAGTAAGTATGGTTCCAAGTAGAGTTCTAAGTACCCTAAATGGACTTACCCCAATTATAACCCTACTTATCACCCTACTTACTAAATCCCCTGCCCCCTCCAAGTACAAGATTTGGGAAGTTAGGCGGGCCTTTGGATACAGCTAGGGCATCAAGACTTTTCTGTCAAACTGCAAGGAGTCGGTAACACAGATGTAAGGTTGAAGGCTTAGGCTGTGTTAGTTAGGGCTTCGGAGAACTCTCTATGCCTGAATGTTTTTACCTCATTCAGACCTAATCGACCCAGATCCCTAAACCCTGAACCCAGATTCTTGGCTTTTACTGGATTGGGACGTGGGTTCGGCTGCGAAGCCGAGCCGCAGATCAGGCTGGAACTCGCCGAACGCATGGTAGTAGTATTCCTCGCGGTTTAGGGTTTAGGGTTCGATTTACAAGGCTCTTACCTTCAACATGCCCGAAACCCTAAACTGACCTAAAACCTACAGAGTTATCTGGGCACCATATGGGGACAGCTGTGTTCATTTCTCATGCGTCTAAGTGTAAAATCAATTTGCGGCTGAAGGCTGTGGATGAAGGGTTCAGGATGTGGGTAGTTCTTTAAGTACGAGCTCCTGTTGGGTTTTTTTGTAATGGTGTCGATGGGTGTCGCACTACACTCGCACTACTGTCGGGACCGAAAACCTAAAACCAAAACCCCAAAGGCGGTTCCTCTAATAATTTAGGGGCCTTAATAATCAGAATAGGGTTTTGGGGCGCATTATACTATAGTCGCAAGAAGGAACCCCCAAATAGCGTTTGAAGTTTTTTGAGCCCCTACAGTTTGGGGTCGGTTTTGTGGGAGGGGCGCAGGTCATACCTCAAACCTCCTCTCCTCTTAAACCCTGAGCCCTTGACCCTAAACACTAAGCCTTGAACCCTAAACCCTAGACCCTAAGCACTAGCACGTCCTCGGTCGTTGCATCCCAGGTCCATGACGAACCCAGGCCTCCACCTTTGAGTAACACCTAGGGGCCTTAAAAGGTTCCTCTTCAGAAAACTCTGAGGATTTCTATCAGGGAAGCTTGTGCGGTCCTTAGAAGGCTGATCTCAAGGGGACTACTTAAAGGATCATGGGACTTAGTAATTACGGTTATAAGTACCTTAATTGGGTTATAAAACATAAGTATAGCTACCTTAATAATAACCCCAGTTACTAAGTCCCATGATCCTCCAAGTATGAGGGTGGCGGATCTCGGGTTCAGGGTTTGGGGTTTCGGGAGAGGTTCCTATCAAAAGGACTACGAGGAGTACTAGAAGGGATACTCTACGGGTTTAATGTATACAGGTTTACATAGGGGTTCAGGGTTTAGGATTTAGGGTTTAGGGTTAAGGGAAAAGGGCCTCAGCAGCTAGAAAGGCTTTTGGGGTATCTTGGACTACAACGAAAACAAGGAACCTTGAAGAAGAGCAGTGCCAATGATTCCAGCTTGTCTAGTACTGCCAAAATGTAGAGAGCTCCGTCAAGGGATCCGTTAAGGGGCGCGGGTGTTCGGGGGTTTCGGTCTGTGGATGTTTTAGGGTTTTCTTGGAGAGCGCTAGTGATATGACCACCGGCAATCATTACGGAGGAAAACGACATAACCATGAGCCCTGACCTCCCTAAACACCAAACCCTACTTGGAGGGGCAGGGGACTTAGTAAGTAGGTTATAAGTAGGGTTGTAACTGGGGTAAGTCCATTTAGGGTACTTATAACTCTACTTATAACCTACTTACTAAGTCCCCTGCCCCTCCAAGTAGGGTTCAGATATGGGGCTTTGGGGTTTAGGATTTCGGGTTCAAGGTTTATGCTGTATGCAAGATGAACACTGATAAGAATCTTGATGGACATTACTTACTGCCATTTCGTTGCAATAGAGCCCTTTCGAAATGCACATTCTTCACAGCCGCAACTTGGAACAGATATCACTGCTGTTTCTCGTCGAAGTTGCACCTAATGCCGAACATGCGCATTGCGGGCATATGTCATTTGCACATGACCGGCTGTAAGCAGCGTGCGATGTAGGAAACATAAGAGGAGCTAAGCAATGGGTCATTTGTGACAGATAGCTTAGAAGCTGCCCCCCACCCTGTAGTAGTGACTATAAGGATTGGGGCCCTATTATATTCCAATTATACCACTATTACAGGGTGGGGGCAGCTTCTAACAGATAGCCATGTGAGATGACAACAATCATCCTTTGTACCCGCCTGTCAAACACTGGCTCGACTTTCGTCTACTAACCAGCGGTTTTGGGGTTCCCTTGGCTCTTTAGCTCCTTATTTCATACGGATTATCATCATCCCTGGCTCCTTAGCTCCTCCAATATCAACGGTTAGTCTAACAAACCAGCCACTGTTGAGAACAAGCATGAGCACTAATTTGCGGCAGAGGTTGCCAATAACATGATGCCACAGCAACATTCACCCATTGCTACGATTAGTTACTTCAGCAGCAGCATTGGCAGTAGTGGCAGTTTTTGGCGGTTTTGGTAGTCATGGTCGCAAAAGAAAGACACCTGCAACTGCAATATAATGCGTGTTGCATTTCTATACCTTGCCTCCCTAAAGTCACACTCTATCTTAGTTAGAACCTGTTTAACACGCCCCCACCCCCCACCCCCCACACTACACTACAAACACCTTTTAGCATCAACTAGGAACCTTCGGCTCCCATTCTAGACCCTAAACCCTGAACCCTACACCCCAACCCCCTAAACCCTGAACCCTGAACCCTAAACTAAACCCTAAACCTCTAAACCACAAAAAATCCTAAACCCTAAACCCTAAACCCCATCGCAGATCCCTTTAAAGGAACCCTTACAGATCCCTTGAAAGGAACCCTCATAGATCCCCCTAAAGGCCCCAAAAATCAGACGGGGTTCCAAAGTTGGAGGCCCAGTTGTTGGGCGGCCGCCTGGAGCCATCCGGCTGCACCACGCCTGCATGCGGTTTTAGGATTTTTTTTATCAAGGCTTCTTTTCATGGGATCTATAAGGGGTCTATGGTAGGGTTTAGGATTTAGGGTTCTTTTTTTTTTTTAAGTTGAGTTGACTTTTACGTCTGCCGGATTTAGGGTTCAGGAAGTGGGATTTAGGATTTAATTTAGTATTTGGGGTTTAGAGAATAGGGTTTGGGGCTTAAGATTTCGGGTTTACAGAGAAGGGTTTAGGGTTTACGTTTCACAGATACTCTTGGGTTTAGGGTTTAGGGTTTAGGGTTTAGGGGTTACACAATGCCACAATACGTTACGTTGATTAAGAACTGACTCCTGTGAGAAACCAGACGTTCCCCACCATCCCATTCCCAAACACGTATTCATACCCAATGGCTGTTGATTCCCGTGTGGCCCCACAAAGTGGTTGTATGTGGTGGGGTTAATGATGGACAAGTAACGGTAGTAGTAATCTGCAATAAGTTGTAGCAGTAGTAGTAGTAGTAGTAGTAGTAGTAGTAGTAGTAGTAGTAGTAGTAGTAGTAGTAGTAGTAGTAGTAGTGGCCGTAGAAATCGTCATCGTAATCCTGAGAGCACAGGAGGACTAGTAATAGCAACGGCAATAGTCACACAGGGATAGCAGTAGTGATTGTAATAGTGACAGTAGTATTACTACGTAGCCTTATCAACGGCAACAGCAACTGCAATAGCTACAGCAGCACAGCAGCAGCAGCAGTGACAGTATTCGTGGCAAGCTTTTCCGATACCCGGCCGTTTGGAGATGCCCAAATCCGAAAGCAGTATGCATGATCCCGAGAAGGCTGGCCCTAAACCCCTTAGACCTCAAAGCTTGCCCCCCTAGACCTCGAAGCTTGCCACTATGAGAGCTTCGTGCCCAGCTGCAGAAAGGAAGGGATTTAGAGCCTACAGGCTTTAAGTTAGGGTTTAGGGTTCAGGGTTTTTGGGCTTTAGCATGTCACGGACTCCTAAGCCTGGCAGCAGACATGGGCAGCTTCAGTTTAGAGCCGTTCAAAGTTTAGGGTAGCAAGGGTTTAGGAGTTCGGGTTGCCGGGGACTCAAGCTCCACAAAGCTCAGATATTTAGACCAATCTTACCTTTGGCTAGCAGGGAATGGAAGAATGGTAGTAATACTGCTGATGGACAAAATCCTGCATGACCCTAAGGACTCTAAACTATGGGAACTATGGTATATTCCTTATAATGGGTAATGCAGGATTTTGTCCATCAACAGTAGTAATAGTAATAGTAATTATAATTGTACCCCATTCCTCCTTTCCCTACTAACCCAAGGTAAGCAATCCCTGGCCTGGATGCCAGATGAACCAGTCTCGCTTCGGGTTGGTCTTGGAGGAGCGGGACTCCTGGAACCACTGAGACCTCGATGTTCCAGCGAGCCCCCGAATCCCTAAACCCCAAAAGCCTAGACATCGCCTACATCTCAGAACCTCAAGCCCAATCCCAAATCTAAGGCTCCAGGCAATAAATCCCATCCTTCGAGTACCTAAACTTCAGGCCCGAACAACGATCACGACGACGAAGATACTCATGCCACGAAGCCGATGATGGCGACGGCAACGAAACAAATGGGACAGCTACACAGCTGCAGCTGCTGCAACAGCCACATCAACAACAGCGCATGGTACTTGTAATACAACTAAGTTTTCAGAGCAGCGGTGGAGACAACCCGCCTCTTTTGTCTGTTACTGGGACAAATGGATGTTGTTGTCACTGTCGTCATTGTCGTCGTCGCCGTGGGACAAAAATGCAACCGACGACGCCGACAACCGTGTCGTCACAAGAGCTATAAGGATGGCCACTGCAGACTACCACGTTATGCACTACCTGTTGGGGATCCTATAACCTGCTGACTGGAGAGCCTGACCATATAATTGCAGGCGCTCACTATGTTGTGGGGCTTGGGGCCAGAGTCCTAGGCCATGAAGTCTAATTCCTAAACTTCTCAAGCGTTCAATGCATCCCTGGCATCAGGTGCGCTGCCAGGCAACGCATTGGAGCTGTGATTGGGCACAAAGTCCTTAGACAACGCTCCAAGGTTAAGGACTTATTGTAGCAGCCCAGTAAATGACCAATAATCTTCCTTAGAGTTCCTTGTTTTGAGTATACCATGACATGCCCCACAAGCATATAATTGTTGAGGCACCTATATTACGCTTTACAGCCCGGGGCTTTACGGCCGTATGGCTCTGAGTCCTGGGGTCTTGGGATTTCAGGGGTTAGGGTTTAGGGTTTCAGCGCCTGAGGGTATTACTCGTGTGTTTGTGCGTGTGTTGTGTCTCCACAACTCAAACCGAAAACTGCAGACATCAAACTCTAGTCTTGGCATTCGGTTCAAGGTTTAGGGTTTTTTGGGTTTAATGTAGGAGCCTGATCAGGAAACCTTGGGCCTTTACTAGGGCTCCTGATATGAATCCTTCTATTTTGGAGTGATAGGCCCTGGGTTGCTTTATCAGGTTCTTACGTTATTCCTATACTGAACTTAGAACCCTAGCAAAAATTATAACTTTAGCTGCTTCTTAGGGACTATAATAACCAAAAATCATTAAGTTATTTGTCTGTACCCCTAAGATTAGGCAGGTTTAGGGTTCAGGGTTTACCCGTCGCAGGGTAATACGTGCACCCGTCTCTAGTCATACTAAGAATATGTAAAAATCCCCTTTTTGGTTTTAAAGGGCTTGGGAACCTAAACCCTAAAACAAAGTGAATAAGGGCCTACTCTGGGTCCGAGGACATGCATACACACAGGCAACCCATTCGACAATATAAAGATCGAGTTGTCCGTATCTGCACATACTTTTAACACGATTATGTACGAGTGGGTGCACACAGAATCAAGCGAATGCTAACGTGCCTTTGTACATAGGTTCAGACGTAGATCGGCATGCATGCAGGTGACTTGGGGATGTCAAATGCAAGCCGTGCTGAGGCCCCTGCTACGAATGATTAAGGTTTAGGGTGAAGGGGCTTTAGGAAGCTTTTAGGAGGGGTTTTGGTGGCTTAGGGGCTTAGGGTGTTAATGCTTCCTTCCGGGGCGCCATCAGCAATCGAATTCCGAGCTTGTCGGCTGCGGCTATGAGGTCCTTCATGTCCTCCGACAGCTTCAAGCCAATACTCATCCAAGCTCTACAGCCATAAGCCCCGACACCCTAAACCCTCCAACCCCAAACCGAAACAAGGTTAGGCCGTGAGCCCAATAGCATTCTCCAAACAGACACAGACGGACGTCTTTCTCGCTGCCGACGCTGCCCAGACCCCCGGGAGTATCCAAAAAGTAGATCCCTTAATGGGGGTTCCAATAAAGTACCCTTAGTAGTATAGGCCCCCAAATTAGGGGATCTACTTTCTAGATCCTCCCGGAGGTCTTGGTGTTGGGTGTAGGGCATCATCACGGTGGTTATCGTCATGAGCATGACGCCCCGTTCTCGTGCTCCCTGCTTACACAGTGGTCTTACTAGTAAATCAATACATGTGACAGTTGTCTTTGGATGGAGGGTGTGCTACATTACAGTATAACATAACACATACCCAGGGGCCCCAAAGTAGTTCCTTTTTGGGTAGTATATTAGAGTCCCTAACCAAAAAAGAGGACACACCCAAAAAGGAACTACTTTGGGGCCCCTGGGTAGGGACTGTGAGGGACATCATTTCCATTATTTCCGCACGAATGCCTTTCTTGGTTCAAGATGTCCGCGACGCAACTCCAGTGCATTACGCTTTCTGTGGCACAAACTCCCCGACATGCTCTCGAAACGAATCCGAAAACAAAAAGCGTCTCAAGAACCAGGGTCTGGGGTTGAGGGTTTCGAGGGTTCAGGCTAAAGGCAAACCAGAGAGACGCCCTGGCCTGCAAGGAGCCGAACAGGGGATCTATCTTGTGAAAGTCGGAGATGTCATATCCTTAGATCTTGGCAGAGACTCCTTCGATCATTTGGGCTGTTTTTATTGGGCGGAGGTTTTTCGAGTTTAGTGCTCCTGATTTCCGGGAACTAAAAAGGTTCCACAGGACCATGAGGGCTTAGGACTCTAAAGGGCCATGGGGCCTCAGGACCTATAGGGTATGTTCTTTCAACGGGATTAGGGTTTGGGGTTTGATTTCAATGGTCTTCACGGATACGGCCGAGGGGCGCGCAGGCTCCAAAACCTTTTTAAATGCTGAACCCCTAAAGCCTAAATCCCAAACCTAAACCCTAAACCCATATGATGGGTAGTTGTCAACACTAAGGTCCCTTTTTGGGTACCCTAAATAATCGGTGCCGTATTATAGTAGGGACCAAAAAACAGGGACCATAATTTTGACAACCACCCATATGAGCTCGAGCCGCGGGGGGTTGAAAGTGTAGGCGAAATGGTAGTTTCCGAGAATTAAGGGCACCTTTTTGGGGGGTCCGTATGGTAAGGATCCTACCGTTTAGGGTACTATCTTAGGTCCCCTAGTTTTCGGAAACTCCCAGATGGTCTAGGGACTGCGGCATTTGGGGTTGGAGGTTCAGGGCTTTTGGGGGCTCGGGTTGAAGGCTTAGGGAGTCTTAGGTTAAGTGTTGATGTAACAGTTGAAGATTACCTTAACCCTGAATAACCTACCTTTTTAGCGTTCCCTATTATGAAACCCTGATATAAGTCCGAAAACGGTAGGTTCTTCAGGGTTAAGGTAAGGTTTGCGGTTTATTAGGTGCCATTGGGGTTCGAGGGCTGTTGAAACTGCTGCGGAAATCCTTTTCGGTGCTCCTTATCTGTTCGTGTATCTAGTGTGTATATGTATGGGCGCCAAAAGTTTCTTGTCAGGGTTTTGAGGGGTTTAGGGTTTACCCAAGGCTCCTGGACCCTTGTAGCGAGATCCCAAACCCTAGCCCCCAAAGCCGAAACCCTCTCACAGAAAGTTCAAGACCCTCTTTACGAGCCTTAGGGTAGGAGCGCCTCGACGAGCACAGATTCTTGAACTGGCGCCCAGGCGCAGGTAGTCTTGAAACGGTGTTTTACCGATGTGTTGGCAAGTAGTGTGAGGGGCGCCAACTAAAACCCCGACCTCACCGCCTGCACGCTATGAAACGGTCTCGCAGGCGACTTCGCGACGTTGCTCTGAATCGAGGCCCCTCAAAGAACTTAAACATGTAACTGCGATTCCCTGCGGTTAAACGCAGAAGCGCCCCGAAGCAAGGACGCCTAGCGAGGGGCCCCCAATTCAGACGAACAGTCGCTTAAAAAGGCAGGCAGCCTTTGCTTCAAAACTCATCAAAATTGACATCATGCGGCACTGTACAGAATTGCCATCCTGCCACCAACCAGAGAAGGTTTGACATTTTAAAAGCACAGAGACTCATGTCGCAGCAAGGTCATGTCAGGATAGCAACAAATTCCAGCACCCGTCAGACAGCTCGACGCTTAAGGGCCCATGTACGCAAATGGTATATACATTGGCCTTAAAGTGGTCCCTAGAATAAAGGTACTGTGGGCCAAGATATATACTGCTTGGGTACATAGGCCCTTAGGGGACAGTAAAAACACCGGCTCTCGTTAGAGTATCCGGCCGAGCACTGCAAGCTTCCTTCAGCAAACTCGCTGCCAATCTACGGTGTCTCATGCTGTTGGGGCCTTAATAGATAGAATAGGGTTTTGGGGGATCCTTATTATAAGTATAGAATAATGTACCACTCGATCCCTGTTCTAATTATTAAGGCCCCTACATTATGTCCTTATCATGGCCCTTGTAGTCGACCTTGTTATAAGTATAATCCCTATTCTACCTTTACTAGGATGCCCAGTAACCTAGGAATAAAAAGGGCTCTCTTTTTTGGATTGGGCACCTTTATCAGGAACCTACGACTACAAAAAGGGAATAAGGGTACTACTGGGCATCGTAGTTTAACTATTAAGGCCCCTACATTACTTGATGCAGCAGTCGAGTGGGGGCTCCACCTCACATCTCATTTTCTGCGACGCATCATGATCTCCGAACAGGAACCCAGACCTTCCCAACATCCCTTAGTTAAGGGATATACCTTAGGTTTAGGGTTTAGGGTTTAATTGATGATAGGACCCCTAATAAAATTTGAGGTATATTCCCCGAATTAAGGGATTTTGGGTAGGGTCTGGGAAGCAGGAACGACGTTTTTTCCACGACCGTCCCACGGAAGCTGTGAGGGCAGAAAGTCATCAAATAATTAAGATGAATGCACAGCACAGGAAAGAGTTGCTTGCCCAACAACGACACGGGTAATCATTATCAGCGTGCGCATAACCACTCAACAATCAACCACCGAAGCCCTGTACTACCACTAGCAATCCGCAGTCACCATTAGTACCAGCATCATCACCATAACCTTCGCCAACATTGTCTTTCCAATGCTGTTGTCATCCTCTTTCAGCCATCCTAGTTGACTCTACGAAGGACACCAAATGAGTGCCACGGAAATAAAGGGAATGGCGTCTGCTTGATCCGAACGTCCAGAAATGGCTTGAAAGACTTTGGTCTACACACAAGAACCTCCAGGCTGGAAGCTGTGGGAGTCGGATGGGTATACAGCCCTAGTGCACTATACCCGAAATCATTCGCAACAACACTTCTTAGACTCACAAACCCTTTCCCTGAAACCTTATCCTGGAGCCTTTAGACTCTCATAGAGCCCTTGCAGACCCCTATATGACTCCACACTGTCCTGCAATCCTAGAAGCACTAGAACACGAAACCCTATCATCTAAACCCTAAATCCCGAAAAAGCTACTTGGAGGGGCAGGGGACTTAGTAAGTATGGTTATACGTAGAGTTATAAGTACCCTAAATGGAGATACCCCAATTATAACCCTACTTACTAAGTCCCCTGCCCCTCCAAGTACATACCCCCCGCCGACAGAATTCCATAAAGTCTAGGATACCCAGTAACCTAAGAATACAAAGGCCTCTCTTATTGGTATTGGGTAACTTTATAAGGAACCTAGGACTACAAAAAGGGAATAAGGGACTACTGGGCACCCTAGCCCCTAATTTTCGGAAACCCTAAACCCTTTATAGAGCCCTTATAGATCCCTTTCAGGAGCCCTTATAGATCCCTTTAAGGGTACTACTGGGCATCCTAGGGACTCCATAAAGTCCTATGAGCCGAAGCGTAGCCTGAGCCTGCACACCCCTATAGAGCCCTGTAAATCCTAAAACCTACACCCCCAAAAAAGAAAGACAAACCCGACATGGAACTCTAGGACCCTTAATGGGGACCCTTACCCTATAATGGGCTATATAATGGGTAGATCATGGCTATATTATGGGTATATACCTAATGTAGGGCTGAAGAATTAGAACGAGGTGTGTGTGTGTGTGTGTGAGTGTGTGAGTGTGTGAGTGTGTGAGTGGGTGAGTGGGTGAGTGGGTGAGTGGGTGAGTGGGTGAGTGGGTGAGTGGGTGAGTCGGTGAGTGGGTGAGTGGGTGAGTGGGTGAGTGGGTGAGTGGGTGAGTGGGTGAGTGGGTGAGTGGGTGAGTGAGTGAGTGAGTGAGTGTGTGTGTGTGTGTGTGTGTGTTTGTGTGTCTGTGTGTTTGCGTTTCCCCCGTATAGTCCGGGAACCCAAAAGCCTAGTATCCCAGAGGGTCCATACATACTGCTATTGTGGAATTAGGTCCCCAAAACCATAATAAGGATGGCTTTTTGTTTTGGGACCCAATTCCATAACGGTAGTATATATGGACCCTTTGGGCATTGGCAATTACTGAGGCTTCCATGCGAGCGCGCTCTGCTGAAAGGAGGGAAACCTTACTTACAATTACTAAGTCCTATGCCTCCAAGTAGGGCTCATCCAAGGGTTTATATAAGGTTTTGGAACCTTAAGCCTACACGTAGACCTCGCTTAATTACACCGAAGCTCCAACACCCACGTAGTAACCCTTCTAATAGCCCTCCCCAAAATCGCCCTTATCGTGAAAACAAAAGCTACTGGGCTAGACCCTAAACCCTAACCCCTAGACCCTAAACCCTAAACCCTAGACCCTAAACCCTAAACCCTAGACCCTAAACCCTAGACCCTAGACCCTAGACCCTAAACCCTAAACCCTAGACCCTAAACCTAAACCCTAGACCCTCAACGGTAACCCCTAGACCCTAAGCCCCAAACCCCAGACCTTTTGGAGCCTAAGAAGCCGAGCTCTAAGCCGATCCTGGACTTCGGAGGAAGATTTGACCTGGAACCTCCAGTTCTCCATGAAAGTGGTCTTCCCGAAACATTCTACAGTAGAAGCCCAAAAGTTGGAAACCCCAGAGCCTCAATCCTTAAGAGTACTGTATAGGGCATCCCAGTACTATTTGGCCTTAATCCGGTTTCCAACTTTATGGGGTTTACTGTAAACCCTAAACCAGAATAGAGATACTGCTGATGGACAAAATCCTGCATTACCTTAAGGACCCGAAACTATGGCAACTATGGTATATTCCTTATAACGGGTAATGCAGGATTTTGTCCATCAACAGTAGTAGCAGTAGTAGAAGTAGTAGTACTGTAACAGTGAGTCGCAGTAGTAGTAGAAGAAGTAGTAGTCAGAGCAGTAGTGGTGTACTGCAGTTATATGAAAGACTATCAGAGCAGAACAGTCTAGTAGGTTTCTTAAGCAGGGTCCAGGCAAACCCTAAAGCCTAAACCAACAGACTACTTGAATCGTCAACACGTACCGCCGCTTTCAGACTTCCTGGACATGAACTCACTATATAGCCGCTTGCCCCATACGGGGAACCAGAGGTTAAGTTTTTGATTTATATTATGTAGGGCTTACCCCAGCAACATATGTTTGTAAAGTCGTAGGATCTACTCAGCGAGGGCATGGGAACTAATGGCTAGCGGCTACTGTCCTGGTTTTGGGGTTCAGCGTTTAGAGATAAGGATCTATAGGACTCAGCGAACACGATTGGAAAAATAACTTGGGTTTGGGAAGGGTTCACGGTTGGTGGTTTAGGGCTGTGTTTTGAACTCTGATCTCGAAGGTGTGTGCGTCGCTCTTGGCTGAGCACTTGCCCAACCCTACGACCCTACATCACGTCCCAATTAATTACAGGCCGCATTCATGAACAACAAAGCCTTATCCTGAAGCCTAAACCGTAAACCATAAACCCCTAAACACTAAACCCCGAAACCCAAAACCCTACTTGGAGGATTATGGGACTTAGTAAGTATGGTTATAAGTACCTTAATTGGACTTATAAGTAATTAGAAGTATAGTTACCTTAGCCCTAGTTTCTAAGCCTCATAAACCTTTAAGTGCTCCTACATCCAAAAAGAAAAGCCCGATACAGCTCAAACGCAGAAGGTGGGGAGATGTTAACTCGACGAGGAACTGAGACAAGTTCGGATAGATCTGCCTTAACACCGAATTACCTACATGTACCGTTTCTTAAGGGTCCAGGTGGGGCCCAAATCCTTTTAACTGATTTTGGGGACATATTATGGAAAAACTAGGTTCGGAAGCTATCATGGGGCACTATTTCGAATTGTTCCGACCCCAATACCCCTTGAGCTAATTCGAATTGTTCCGGCCCCAATACCCGTTGAGCTAAGCGAGATCAATCGAAAATCTAGGCCTAATTATTCTGATTTGAAGCAAGCATTCCTTAATGAACGGAAACTGGGCTCGCTTGCCAACATCGGATAATTACAACGTTCGGCAACCTAAACCCTAAACCCTAAACCGTTGCTTTAAGGATGTAGGACTAGTTATGCGAGTGCTCGCGAAACCACAACACTCCCTCGGCATCGGGGGGTGGCTGCTTGGGTTCGGGTCACCTGGGGTTGTTCAGGGTTTAGGGTTTAGGCGATCCCATTAAACTTCCGCTTCAGCCAGAACCCTCACTTTGGAACAACCTTCGTGTCGATGCCCATTCCGATTGGAACTACAGGATTCAAACTGGAAGCGAGGGTAAATGCCATCCCGACGGCAAGGCCAGTCGTTGCACGAGAATCTAGACTTTGGCTGCTCTAGAAAGTTGACCCTTGCCATAATTTCATTCACTTAATACATACACATACCGCTCGGTAGATATGCATATAGATAAATATGTATTTATATATATATATATATATATATATATATGCATATTGCGTATATCAGTGTTTGCTGGATTTATCTGCCAATGCATCTGTTTGTTTATTGAATTGGCTGCCCAAAGTGACTACCTAAAGATGGTGAACAGATAGGTAGATGGATAGGCAGGTAGTTAGATAGACAATTACACATCTAGCAGACGTATACACACACGGATACAGACCCCAGCTGCTAAACACATGTATGAGGATGCACATGTGCATGCACATCAACATGAGCATCCTTCCTTCCCTCTGGCTACCCGCCTACCCCCCTCTCCTGCTCCCTCTCCTGCAGTATATACCTGCTTCTAGCTACATATACATGCATGTATACACATACACACGTACATATGCACATATATACATGCACTGTATAGATATGTACAGACAGACAGCCAGGCAGGCGGACAGACAGGCAGACAGACCAACAGACAGACATCAATGCATACTTCCATATATGCATGCGTATACCTACATACATGCGTACATGCAAAAATACGCTGTATATGTATCCATAACTATATATATATATATATATATACACACTCATGTATACACACATACTTGCATGCGCTTGTGTGTCGCCGAAAGCCATGTCCAACTATAAGTGCCATTGAAAAGCAGGCCTCGGGCTGCCTGAACACATATGCAGGGGCCTTAATCAGTAGCGAAGGGTTCTTTCTGTGAGGGCTGTGAAGTAGCACAAGGCATTCAACAACTGGAATAGAGTTGTGGCACATATTGTAATAATGTTTGTCATACGTAATTATAATAGGACCTACAAGGGGATGCTTTTAGTTAGTAATTTTCAAGCCCCTCTATTGAACTCATGTGCAACATTGCGGCCTCACATGAAATGAGACACATCGTGAACTGCTGCTTGCAGACCTGAACAACTTGAGTAGCCACTGCTCGGTAGAGCACATCGGTGTGGCTGGAAGATATTCCTACAGGAAACGACGAACTGCTGCTTGCAGAACTGAACAACTTGAGTAGCCACTGCTCGGTAGAGCACATCGGTGTGGCTGGAAGATATTCCTACAGGAAACGACACCTCGGTCAGTCGACAGTAAGTCTGCCTTGGCTGCCCGTCTTGCTCCCCTCTCCCATCACTGGCGAGCCTGTCAGCTTGCCTTGGCTGCCCGTCTTACTCCCCCCTCCCAGCACCGGCGAGCCGGCGTAGGCAGGGCTTGGAGCATCCTGCGGCGAGGAGCCGTACTGCCAGGTCCTTCGGATATGCTTAAACTGTGACTTCTCAAAGACATTCTGCACGTTCACGGTGTCTTCCGTGAAGGACTCCCGTCGGATCTTCTGCCTCAGCAACAGCGAAAGAAAAAGAAGGAAACTGAAAGCGAAGGGAAAACCGGGAATATGGGTTTAGGGTTTAGTAAGTATGGGTTTTAACTGTAAGCTTTCAATTAGAAAAGATGATAGCATTATCCCAAGTGGTGAAATGTACATTCAACTACTCAGTAATAGGCTCGCTTGCTGCTGTAGGCATACTGGAGACGGAGTGTTTCGTTCAGGGCTTTGGGGATACGGTACGCCATCGCTGCACTGTAACATTGCTGAAGACGAGAACAGGTCTGGCTACTTGGGGGACCATGGCACTTAGTAACTAGGGTTATTAGTTAACTACGCTTATACTTATAATTACTGAGAGCCCCAATTCATCTAGGATGTTCAGTAACCTACTGGGAAAAGTATATACTTGTTTAGGCTTCTCATTTTATAGTAGGAACCCAGAAACCCTGAAAGCAAAAAAGTGTAGCACTGAACAGCCTGGTAATGTACTTATAGCCATACTTACTAAGTCGCATGACCCTTCAAGTAGCCAGGCTCCGACGGCTAGGTAGCCCAGTCGAGCGATGATAGACAGTGCTTCGCTAGGCCGCTAGGGATCTAAGGACTCATGTACAAAGGCTTTTGGGCCCAAAGACCATACTATATAAGCCTTTTGGGCTATTTTGATGCCAAGGGTTTTAGGAAGCTGATGCAGGGGCCCGTGTTTGTGCTTATTCCGACCCCTGTAGTACGCTGTTTCTGCCAGAAGGTTAGGTCGAAAGGAGGGTCTTAAAGCAAACAGAAGCTCGACTGGAAGGGTAAAGCCTACTTGGAGGATCATGGGACTTAGTCAGTTTGGTTTGGTTGTAGGTAATTTAATTGGGGTACTAAGTGCCCTGATCCTCCAAGTACAAAGCCTACCCGAGGAAAACCACTCCACTCATTCAGAGCCTCTATCCACGATTTCGACAGTAAGGAACAGCCTAAACCCCAAACCTTAAACCCGACACCTATTTCCTGTCTTGGCTCTGGGACGAGTTCTTTTAGGCTGTTTGGGTTCAATGCTTCAGAGTTTAAAGTTTACGGGCTTAGGTTTTAGGGTGAAGGGTTTAGGGTTTCGAGAAGGCTTGCTACAAGGGTGCGAGAAGGATTTTGGAGTTTAGCAGGATGTGCCGGGCGAAAGCATGACAGTAACTAGACATTTGGCCGGAAACTACTTCGAGTCCGAGGGAACCAGAAAACCTACGGTAACCCCGACACCCTAGAGCCCCAATAACGTCTTAAATCCCCAAACCCTAAATTACTATACTGATCTTAGAACGCTAGCAAAAAAATGTAATTTTAGCTGTTTCTTAGGGATTATAATAACCAAAAATAAAAAAATATTTTTAAGTACCCCTAAGTAAAGCCACTAAACTCGTAAACCAATAAGCGAATCCTGGCAACGAAGCTCACAGAGTTTATGGAGCCTCAAGGAGGGTTTCCAGAGTTGGGGGCTTGGGCTCCAAACTTATGGTTTAGGGTTTGGGGTTTAGGGCTTCGGGTTCAGGGTTTAGGGTCTAGGGTTCAGGGTTTAGGGTTTCGGGTTCAGGGTTTAGGATTCAGGGTTGAGGGTTTAGGAATCAGGGTTTATAAGGTAACTATACTTGTAATTACTTCTAACCCCAATGAAGGTACTTATAAGCCTAGATACCCGCTAGGTCCCATGATGCTCCAAGTACTGTAGTGTGTCCCAAAACCCAAGTCTGGCTATTGTGGCCCCTGTATCATGAAATCCTTTCAGGATCCCTTATTAGAGCTTTTGACAAGGAGGCATCTAAGTAACCCTATTCTAGTCATAAAGGCCACTGTTTTAGGATTTAGTTATGAGAGGAAGGTTCACCCATTACAACCCCGAACCCTAAACCCTAAACCCTCAACCGAAACCCTAGCACTAAACCGCAAACCCAAAACCCTACTAACCCTACACCCGAAACCCCAAAAACAACCTCAAACCCTACAAACCCTACACCCTGAACCCAATAAACCCCAACCCCGACATTCCCCCAGCTCTGCCCCAAACCCAAAGCCCTAAACCCCAGATCCTAAACCATAAGTTCATCTAAGTCATCTGCACTTCGAAGCTGCTTAGTACAAATATACTGTAATGCAGAGGTCTTAACAATTAGAATAGATCTTGGGGGCCAGTTATCAATGATATTGTAGTTATAACAAGGAGCCCCAAAAATAGGTTTGGTAATTGTTGAGGCCCCTATAATAGTAAGGGGCGACTGTAGAATCCGTGAACCCTCACCCCTAAACCCCGAAACCCTAAACTCTAAACCACTAAACCCTAAACCTCTAAACCCTAAACTCTAAACCCCTAAACCCTAAGCCCCTAAACCGTAATGTAACCCGAAACCTGCGCTCCAAAGTGCAGCATCTCGTCGAAGAGCACTTCCACCTTGGTCTCCAGTCTCCATACCTGGTTCGTGCGTATACTATACTTGGAGGGGCAGGGGACTTAGTAAGTATGGTTATAAGTAGACTTATAAGTACCCTACATGGAGTTACCCCAATTATAACCCTACTTATAACCCTACTTACTAAGTCCCCTGCCCCTCCAAGTAGTGGCCTTACCCATAGGCCCCATAGTAGTTGCTTCTTGGGGTTTATATATAGGATTCTAAACATGAACACCAAAAAGGAACTACTTTGGAGCCTAGGGTAATAATTACCAATACTGTCTCCATACCTGGTTCGCGCGTTCGGTGCGGCACTACCCTAAGGGTTCATGTAGCCAAATCGTATATACATTGGCCTTAATGTAGCAAATATAGGTACATTGGGCCCAAAGTATATACTATTTGTGTACATGGACCCTTAGGGCTACAGTGGCCTAGATAATTACCGATAGGGTTCCTAGGATTCCTTTAAAGGGGTCTATAAGGGTCACTATAAGTGGATCTACAAGAGCATTATAATAGAGGGTCCTAAAAGTTACCAATACTATGTTGGTTCCTTTTGAACAACTATAGTCTAATGGGCCCCCGGCACGTAGGGTGCAGCGTGTCGGGTGGAGGGTTTAGGATGTAGGGTTTAGAGTTTAGGGTTTAGGGTGTAGCTTGTCGGGTTGAGGGTTTGGGCTTAAGGGCACATATACTAGGTGACGGGTCTAGAGCTGATAGTTTCGATTTCAGGGTCAATGGCTGTGCTTGCGGGTTGGGGTGTGGTTTATAAGGTCTCGGCGATCGAAACAGGTTATCTGGGGGCCGTAATAATTAGAATAGGGTTTTGAGGCCCATTATACTGCGATAATTAGAAGGACCCCCAAAACATATATAGGTAATGTTTTAAGGCCACTACTGGTATCTTGTTATGTTGAGAGCGAAGGGCTCGTAGGATGAAATCAAGAGGTTGCCCAGTTCTGCTTAGGTTTAGGGTTTAGGGTTTGGGCTTTAGGGTTTAGGGTTTGGGCTTTAGGGTTCAAGGTTTAGGGCTTCAGTTGAGAGTTTAGGGTTTAGGCTTTAGGGTTTGAGGGTTAGAGTCTATAGCAAAGCCTTGTGCAAGCAGCTACGTCAAGGAACTTTGAAGCTTCAAGGCAAGGACATGGCTAGCCAATGACCAATTACCCTAAGGCTCGTAAGCGGATCATGGGCTTTGTGGGCGAAGGTTTGGGCTTTGGGAGCTACGATTTCGAATCTCAATACGAGGGTTAAGGTAGCAACTAGAAGACAAAGATTCTTCGAACCGAAGAAATGCCAGGTTTGCGAGTAATTAATTAACCCCTTCAAAACAAGAATGCCCCGCTCAACACACAAGGGTAGAAGGGTACTACTGAGTCCCCTAGTACTTCGCGAAGCCGTTGCATGTTTTGGGTTTAGGACCTATTTTATGGTCCGACAGAGCTATTTTCAATCCGGGGACGAAAGCTGCTGAAATCTGTCTAGGGTAGTCACCAACCTTCGTGGCCAGCGCAAGGGTCTTTAAAAATAGAATATGTGTAGTTATTGGAAGGTCACACTAGTGATGCCGCTACAGCTGGCTGCAGCTACTATAGTCGCCCGAGACAACCGCCCAATAGAGCCCCAGAGTCTCAAAAAAACCCTCAATTAGGTAATGTCCCTGAAACTATAGTAGCAACCCCATAACCCAAAACCGTAAAACCTAATTTAAACTATAGTAGGAACCCCAAAACCCTAAACCCTAAACCCGTTTAAGTCAGATTCCTTCTTGAAGGAGTGTGGGAGTCTCTATGTAGGTTCATCGGCATGAAAGGCTCTCTTCCAAGGTTGAGGGTCTGTAAAGCCACCTGCACGACGACGGCCGCATTACACCCAAGTGAGGATAGCAATGATCATGGGTGCAATTACAATGGCTAGCCAGGGATGAAGATCTAACGTTTTAGCGGTCAACAGACACTAATTGCACGAATAAGGTTTACTAGCAGTATAGGTGTGCCAGAAGCTGTCGTAATTGTCACTGGTCATGGGCAGCTTCAACATCAATATTGCAGCTGCGGAATCCAGCAATCTTTCGGATACTCTCCGACACTGAACATGACGCAATGGATGCGATCAAATAACTGCGGCACACTGGCCTTGTGCGCTACAGGCTCGCCTGCACTTGCCTACTTGGCAGGGCAATGCTCAGAGGCCTTGCGGGTGAGTTTTCGAAATAAGCGATTGAGACGAAAAACTAAACAATTCACCAATAGCATGTTGGGGGCACACGAACCATGTGTCCTGGTCAGCATAAACATCATGGCTACACATCCTTGGAAAACCCTGAACTTCAACCCTGAACCCTAAACCCTAGTATAGATCCGTCTAAACAACTTGACCCATTTAAGGAACCATAAACCCTAAACCCCTAAACCCTAAACCCCTAAAGCCCTATACCTATACCTGAAATGCCAAGCGAGATGCGTCCAGGGCTTTTGCGCTGCCACGTAGCCGGGCAGCCCCTGGCAAATCTTGGAGGGTTAAGGGTTTGGGGTTAAGGGTGTAGGGTGTGGGGTTTATGGTTTAAGGTTTGGGTTTATGGTTGAAGGTTAGGGTTTAGGATTTGCGGTTTCGGGTTAAGCGTTTAGGGTTTGTGGTTGAAGCTTAGGGGTAAGGGTTTAGGGCTTAGGGCTAAGGATTAAGGGCTTGGAGTTTAGGGTTTAAGGTTTAGGGCGTAGGGAATCTCAAGGCTGAGGAATTGGTGCCACACGCAACAGTGGAGACACCTCACGTATTATTCTGCTTACTTAACCCTAAACTCAAGACCCTAAACCCTGAACCTTAAATCCGAAGCCATACACCCTTGAACACTAAACCCCAAGCCCTCAAACCCTTAGACCCTACAGAAATCCAATCGAACTGAGGGCCGTATTTACTCGGATCTGCACGCTTCGTCCGAGTACTCAGGTTTTGGGTTTAGGGGTTCAGGGCTTAAGGTTTGAGGATTTGGGGTTTAAGGGTTTGTAGGGCTTAATATGGTTTAGCATGGTTTCAGGGTCTAGGGTTTAGGGGTCTCGGGTTTTGGAGTACAGGTTCTCGAGCTTGCTTGGCAATGTGCTTAGCGCCTCGGAAGCTTGTGGAGGGTGAAGAAGATTTTAAAAAAAACTACTATTATAGGGGTCTGAATATTTACCTATACTATTTGGGGGATTCCTTAGTATAAATATCGTATAACATACCCGAAAACCTATTGTAATTATTAAGGCCCCTGGATCACATACTAGTTAGTTACAATTACTATCACCATGCCAAGCCACACTGAACCAAACTCGCCCTATGTGGCATGTGCATATCCAAGGGTAGAAGGAGGGACCCTTAGTAAGGACCCCCTAGGTATACCGTAAATATAGCTATTATGTACCCATTATGTAGCCCATTATAGGGTAGGGGTCCCCATTACGGGTCCCTCCTTTTCCCCTTTGAGCATATTTTGTGTGTGCATGAAGCTCTCTAGTACCGGAGGGTTGACTGCATTCCAGGGGGCCAAAAAATGAGTTTCCGAAAACAAGGGACCCTAATATAGAACCTAAATAGTAGGATCCTCATTAACATGACACCAAATTGAGGTACTCCATTTTCGGAACTCCCAAATCGAGTGCATTCGCCCTCGCCACTTGTTTGAGCCAGGTGGCTCTGCGAGCTCGATGCCCCTACAACTCTAAAGCCCTCAAGCCAAAACCCTACAAGTCTAAAGCCCTCAACCCCAAACCCCTAAACCCTAAAGGCCCTAAACCGTATGACCTCCGTGGGAGGATTCTGAAGTCGGCGTTGGTCTGCGCATAGGCATGGAGCCAGGAACTGACATGATCATGGGACTTACTTATTAAAGGATCATGGGAACTTTGTAACTATAGGGTTATTATTGGGGTAACTATACTTATTCGCCTCGGCCCCGGCCGAAGCGGTCAGAGGTTCCTATTCGGATTCCCTCTATTCCCCATCTTAATCCCCTCCTCAGTGACCGCCCCCCCCCCCCTAAAAAATGGAAACGTGTCGATGAGCCCCAAGGTCCGGCGGTGAATTCTCGCCTTCTCCAATGGATTTTGGCAGTCTGCAGGCAGTCCCACCCAATTTTCTCCGTTTCCCCCTCCCTCCCCCTCCCCCCCTCCCCCCCCCCCCCTCCCCCCCCCCTGTGCCGATACACCCACAAGGAAATGCTCCTTGTTAGGAGGTGTATGACCAGTTTATTCCCTAAGGATCAAAGGGCAGCGCCCTGCACACGGACAGTAGTTGTTTTGTCTTGCTACGCAAGGAGAGCTTGTCTTGTCTCAATATGGTAAAACCACTGTGAGCCAATGGGCAGCGGAATGTATATGTATGAGCATGCAGCCATTGCTGTAGGTACCTGTTAGAGCTACCCCTTTAGAGGTTTACGGAAACAAACAGACACTAATTTTCTTTTACCGGAAGCATGGCCGCACATTCACACATATACTATTATGCCCACTGTCACAGTTGCGGAGTTTGGACTCATGATAAAAACAGCATATTGTTTATGCTAGGTATAGCACTGAAGTACACTGTTGAGGTCACTCCTTTTGCACACACTCATGCATGTTGGTCAGAGAGATCATCTGTACAAGATCAGGTCTGGTAATGTTCTTCTACCGAATTATGCAGCCCTTCATTGTGCTCTTGTTAGAGCTTTGTGAGTCACTGTTGTGAAACTCTGAGAATTTTCTTATCTCAGATTCGGATCCAGGTTTGGATCATAGGCTCGAGCATAGACGTTCGGATGTGGTTCATCCGGGTCTGAGTGATCTTCTTCGGAACTTGAAAAGATTCCGAGTAATCTGTTCTCAGCCCTGGTGAAGGCGGCGTCTGCAGTGTCATATCCATGGTTGGATGTAGTCGCCTTTGGCTCGGCCTTTGGTGCAGCTTGTGAGCTGATTGGAGTTGCCTCGGCTTTAGCCGGTTGTGGCTGCTTAGCCTTTGCCCGTTCGGCCCTTCTTCTTTCAAGCTGTCCGTCTGAGGACGCCCATGATCTTTCACTTTCATCTCCTGAGGGAGATAAGGCGTGGGCATGAAGGCTGTTCCAGTACTGTGCTGCAGAAGGAGTTAGGACTTCTTCATGGTCAGATTCTGACTGGTCTTCCTCAGAGCTTTGGTCGTCAAAAAGTGTCTCAAGGACATTTTTGAGGTTTTTATGTCTTCGCTCTATCTCTAGTGAGGAATGGACCAATTGATTGAAGACTGTTTTTGAGTCCTTCAGTGCTGTTAGAAGGATTTCCACTCTGGATAGAGTATCTTGGATGGTGTCAAGATGATCCTTTCTTTCCTCCTTGTCTCTCTGGATAGAGTTTCGCAATGATTGTGCGATTCTGAGGAGGTCGAGATATTTCTGAATAGGCATAGTTGCCGTATGATTGTCATGTATGACAGTTGTTTCGTCGCTGCTCAAGTTCCTGAATAGGACTTCCACGACTGGTAGAAACTCCGTGCTCCACGGTTCCTCTTCATCATATGTTTCTACATGCTGTTGCACGCGTTGCGTAAACTGCTCGGCTGCTTCTACCGTTGCATCGATAGAGCTGACGTGTCTTACTGCCATGTTTCGGCACATAGTGTTAATGGCCTGGCCTTGATTGGCTTCGCCAAGTGCAGCGTCTGCATGGTTGCAGAGTCCACTGTTATGGGCTTCTCTAGCTGCCTTTCGTTGAATGCGCCGATTTTGACCTCCTCTTCTGGTAGGACCTTTTGGTCTCGGAGGATCTGAAGGTACTGTTCCTTTCGCCTTTGGCGGAGGAGACTTAGGCGGAGGTGACATGTTTGCCTTGTTAGGCACTGGTGGCATTGCCTTGGGCACTGACGACGATGAGGCACTTGCGAGTGCAGATGTACCTCTGGCTCTTGCCGAGGATCCCTTCGGGATTGATGTATAGGTAATCTGCATGGCTTCTTCGGCCATTTGTGAATGCAATGCATCACTGAATAATTGCCTCATATGAGGAGTAGTACTTGCATCGTCATAGGTTTGAAACCGTTCAATGTCCCTTTCGGTGCCACGTGATCGTGTATCACCTCTTTGAAAAGGATCGTTCCTGCGAATCTCCGCAACTTGTACTGCCTGGAGGCAGGTTTTACACAGCACCTTCCTTGAAACATCTTTTGCTTGCTTGAGCTGGTAACAGCTGTCTGAAAGATGGTAGACTTCGCTTCGGGAAGTGTGCCACACAGGTCGCAAATCCGTTGTTTCTCCAGAATTGACCCTGTTGGGTCCTAAAGGTTCACGCGTCTGTGGTTCATTCTCGGGTTCGAGAAATGGTGGTGGTCGTTTCGCTGCTGCTTTTGCATTTGATTGTTGGCGGTCCATACATCTGATGGGAGCCCTGGTGAGCTGCTTCCACATCCAGTGTAGGCCCATTAGCAGCAGAAACACATTCCACGCGATGCTGAAGACGGAGAAGTCTTGCTCACTGGTTAGTGAGTTGGGAAGTGAAGGTTCATCAGTCTTGATAGACTCTGCGTTTGCACCGCCTTGATTACGGTGTCCGAACCAGCCCGACAACCCCGCTGCTGTGGCAGCTGTTCTGAGTGCCTTGCCGCTCGGAGCAGACGGTGGGCGTGATGCCTTCCTTCTTCTCCTCCGGCTGGAGGATTCGTCCTCTTGTTCGTCTTCATCTCTTTGAGCAGACATCAGATTTGATGTTTCTCGTTCGTGCTCTTCAATATCACTCTTTGTTGGAGAGTGTTCTTCTTCTTGTTGTTCCTCAAGTGTGTCCAGTTCCTCTAAAGACATGTTGAGCTTGTCAACAATATTGGTTCTTTGAGGTCTGGACCTTGATCTTGGTAGATCTTGTTGTGAAGAGGACGATGATGCCTGGCTCCTTCTTGGAGGAGGGCCTTCAGGCTCGCTGGGACGTTCAGGCCTTGGCCTTTCCCAGAATCTTCCATATCTGTGATAGCTACCTTGTGGTTGCTGTTTGTCGTACCAGCTGTTGCCGGATGAATACACAAATGAGTCTTTGTAATCCCAGTATTCAGCATTACGCTGCTTGTAAGCCTGTCGCTTGTTAGCGATCTTCTGAACCTGGGCATCTGACCGGTTGTGTTTCCCTTTTGTAAGGATTGGTTGTATCGTGAAGCCCAAAGGGCTGTGCCAATCTTTGTCAGAGGGACTCAACCAGAGGTCAAGGTTAGAAAAAGTTGAATAGTACTGCTTGACTGAGACAAACAGACGGATATCGATATCCCTGTTTCTGTTCATGTCCTGCCACATATCTGAGACTCGTTCCCAGTATGTTCTTTCGGCGGCAGGTGTAGCATCTCTTGGACTAGGTGACGCCGTGTGCGGCGTTTTGCTCCAGTCAAGGATATAACTGTTGATACAGTCGAGGTCAGCAACTTTCTTCGCCGGGTCCGGCGGTAGACGATCTGCACGTGCCAGTCTGTGCTGGTCAGAGTTGTTCAAGCAGAGGTGTCGCACTTGTGAGTGCCTTCCTGCTATTCTGTTGAATGCTGC